ACTGAACAATCTTTTGTCATCACTTCATTTGATAAAAGGCGTTGATGCATTTTTGTGAATGTCAACTTGTTAAAACATTTTTATTTCGATATATGTATGTGTGTGTGTGTACGTAATTGTATTATTTTGTTTTATAAATAATACAAAACTAAATATAAACTATGAAATTCTTATCAAAAATATAATTAAATCTTTCATATTTGACGTATTTCCACGTGTAAAAATTAGTTATAATGCATATATATAATAATGATTACGTGAAAATGCAATAAATGATCGAACACAAATCAATCAAAAAAGTGAAATTTCATTATAATAATTAATAATTTGAATGGAATAAAATGTAATTTGCTACATTCTATTTGCTGCAATCAATGAATTCGGTATATTCTTAATTCGAAATGAAAAATAAAATCAATGATATGTATATCAAAATATGAAGATTAAAGACTAAAAAGGAAAAAAAAAAACTTCCAAATTGATCATTTTGCATTTGTAATTGATTGATTAACTTTTATCTAATTCGATTCCATCCTTAGATCAGAAAAACTATAATTATTATCATTATCATCAATGTTTTATTGTTATTATTATCATCATCGATATCATCAATTATCTGATATCTTCCAATTCTTCTTTTCTTTTATTATTAATGAATTTTTTGTTAGCAAAATGTTTTTTTTTCCTATTTAAATTCAAAAATTTATCACAATATTTCCTTCTTTTTCAGAATGGAAGAAAACTGAGACAATAGCGCCTATTATCATCGTTCATATCATTAATACAAAAATTGCGATGAGCACAAGCACCTTAATGATTATTTCTACTTTTTTTATTTAAAAAAAAAAAAAACATTCTTAATCAGATAATGATTGTACACTTAAGCTTACTGCTTATCATAATTGCTTTATTTGAACGATTGAAAAATGATAAAAATAAAATGTAATTAATCATTTGCAAAAATTCGATAAAGTTCAAACATTACAGATAAATAATTATTACTGAATATTTTATTCATTTTAGGCTAAAATGAATAATTATGCAACTATTAGTAATACTATACTGTAAGTTTCCCTTCTGTAATACTAAATATTTTATAACTGTAAAAACAAATTTATAATTTCTTTCTTACTGCCCTGCTTCCTTGTGAAACAAAGTAGTTTTCCTTTCTTGATAATTCAGATCGTTGATTTCTTTTTCTTCAATACTGGTAAATTCTCGAATCTGTACTGGTTCCGTTCTGTGAAACGTGATACGTGTACTGTGGGAGTCTTCGTGATTATTATAACAATAGCCTTTGTTCACTCAAAGTTGGCTAATTAAAACCACAGATTAATATGATACAACATTGCAATAATGAATTTATACATAACACATAAATGTAGCTTAATTATAAAACATTTTAAGATATAAGCAAGCTATACATCTCGCAACCGAGCCATACCAAACAAAGGCTTTTTATGCATAATTTCAATTTAATTTCCTCTTAGATATGTCACTATTTTAGAACATTAAAAATATAATTAGAAGTAATGGTATTATTCGAGAATTCTCGAAAATATCAACTGAAAATGATATCAATAATGCAAAAAGATATTATTAGTAATTGTGCTATAAGAATGAGAAGATTTACTTTTATAAAAATTATTTTGATACTAATTGATAACATTAAAATTAATTAGCAAAAGATAATTAATTAGTAAAAATTAGTTAGAATAGTTAACATTAAAAAAATATTCCATCTTCAATTATAGTAAAAAATGATTCGTTTTGCATTTTTTAAAAAAAAAATAAATTAATTATTTCAAAATTTACTATTTGCTTCCTTACAGTATTATATTGTTTACCCAAAATTAACATTTTGCCTTCATCGATTCATCCTTTATTGATTGGTTTTTTTCTTTTTTTTAATGAAAATAAATTATTTAAATACGAGTATATCTGAAATCAATTTTAATTAGATAATATGTGAATTAAAATGATGAAACATTTTAACGTTTGGTTAAAATTGACTAGAAAATGACGACAAAATGACAATGTTTATTGGCTGTGCTTTTTTAATTAATCGGAAAACAATATGGGCAATAATTTGATATATTGGAATTGAACTAAATAGGACGGAAATGAAATGAAATGGAATGAAATTAAATTAAATTAGATTAATGGACAAATTGTTCTTTTGAGTAAATGAAATAAGTGAATCATAAACAATGCAATTGATGAATGTGCCGTAAAAGTTAACAAAAATCAAACAAAATAAATTGAACGAACAAATTAAAAGCATTTTTCTCTTTTCTATTTTTTTCATTTTTATAAACGAAGGAAGCATTTTTCCTATAATTTCTTTTCTTCAAATTTTATTTCATTTTAACACAAAAAATTTAACATTTGCAATTTTAATTTTACTTCTAAAATTTCAATGATTCATTCATAGCATATAAGTTTGAATTTCAATCAATGAATATTTCAACTAATCAAATGAAATATTATCAATAATTTCTAATCAAATCAATAATAATGCTATTCTAATATTAATTTTAAAATTAAAAAGTAATAAGAAAAATAAAAGCAAAGGGAAGAAAAAAAAAGGGAAAGTAACGAAAAAAAGCAGTGAGACATTATTATTCTAATTTGAAATTGACATCAACTTATTTAAAAAAAAAAAAATATTTTTTAAAAATATATTAGTATATAATTTATTTGTACAACAAAATATCATCCGAAACTATTTGATGAATTCAATAAACCGATCAATTAGAACAAATTGTAAATATATTATTTATTATTTACAAAGTTTTTTTACTGTTAATTGTGAAAGAGTTCGTAATGATATCATTTGCAAATTTAATTTTATTGATTTTTCAAAAAAAAAAAAGAAAGAAATGTGCGCATTTTGAAATAAAATGAGCTTACTTTAAAAAAAAAGAACAGAAAAAAGGAAAAAAAGGGAAAAAATGTTATTACTTTGTTTCTTTGTTTTTTTTTTTTTTGCAATTAATTCAAATGAAACTAATTTGTTTAGTTTTATTTAAAAAAAAAAAATTGACAAATAATTTTTAACAAATGATAATAAATAATGATAACAATGATAAATGATAACGATAATAATGATGATGATGATGAGATGAATCACATTATCATCATCATCATCATTTCATTCATTCTTTCGTTTTTTTTCACTGCAATCCCTCCTCTTTCTTCGTTATACTTTCTCATTCACAATGACTCAATCATCCGTTTTCTTAGTTGTTTGTATTCATGAAAAGCTTTTCTTTTTTATTCCTCAAAATGAGTTTTTATATTTTAGTTTAATTTTTTTTTTTTTTTTTTTTTGTTATTCAAAACAAAAAAGTAGAAAATGATAGAATTTATTGATTTTTCAATAATTTCTCCACCAAAAAATGTGATTTTTTCTTTAACTTTAACTATTTTATAACCATTATAAATTATTATATATGATACAAAATTAATAATAATAATAATAATAATAATAATAATAATAATAATAATAATAATAATAATAACAATAATAATAATGATAATGGTGATAATGACAATGATAATGATAATGATAATAATAATATCAATAACTGAGAATAATGTAGTTGAAAATAAACTTTAAATTTAATGAACTTATAAAGTTATTTTAAATTTAGAAATAAAAATCAGAAAAAAAAAAAAAAAAGAGAAGAAGCAGTATTGGAAATGATTAATTAATAACTGAAAGTAATTTAATTGAAAATAAATTTAAATAAATTAAATTAGCTCAGTAATATTCAAATTATCATTTCTCAATACTATTTCTCCTTTTTTTTTCTTTTTTCTCATTTTAAAGTTTGTAATTAATGAAGAATTCTTAGTAAAAGTAATTGTAAATTTTGATTTGTTTAATTTATTGAAAAAAAAAGGAATTAATATTATAGATCTGAAGAGAGAAAGGGAGAGAGAGAGGGAGAGGGAGAGAGAGAGAGAGAGAGAGAGAGAGAGAGAGAGAGGGAGTTATTGTTGTTGTTTGGGGTGACCGTAAAGATAAAATGCATTGATGATTTTTTCTTTTTCCTTCACATTTTTATTTTTTCAATTTATTTCTCAGTCAGTCATTTCTGTATTCAATTATTATTTATTATTATTTTATTTTTATTATTTAAATATTTTAATTATTTTTATTGATTAATGTTTTTTTTTTTAATTTATTTAAATTATTGATTTATTTAAGATTATAATTTCATTCGATTAATTTTATATTTTGCATTGCATTCTATTTACAAATACATTTAAAAAGTTTCACATGTAAAAAGTAATGATAATAAAATCGCAAATATTTCAATTTAAAATTAAAAAAAAAAAAATTGATTGATGAAAAAAATTTAGCACTTGCTACTTTTGCTAAGTGCTTTCTCATCATCATACTTTTTAAATTTCATTTCTTTTTTTGATCAAATAAAAATTACTAAGTATTAAGATATTAAACGTTTGCACACTTTAAAATTTTAAAATAAGCTAAATTTAAAGGTTTTATTTATTATTTTTTCTTATTAAATCAAATTTTATCATTATTCAATGAAAAGTTTAATTTTTTCTTTTTTTTTTCCTCTCAAACTTTTATTATTTCAATTAATTTTTTTATTTCTCTTTCTGTACATATGGCAATGAAAAGTTTATTATTGTCATTCAAAAAAAATTACATTTCTCATCGTTATGCATAATTTATGAGATGGAAAAAATCATTTGGAAAATAAATTTTTTAACCAATTAATATTGAAAAGTTTTTCTTTTTTCTTTTTTCTTCGTTTTTGTTTTGAGCACTTTTTTGTTTTTGAAATATTTTTTGAAATATTTTTTACAATCATTTTCAATCAGTGATAGCAAAAAAAAAAATTCTTTTAATTTCATTTGTAGAAAAATGAAAAAATTTTTTTCATTTCGATAAAAAATAATTTGCGTATAATTTATCAAATAATAATATTTAAAAAAAAAAAATTTAAATTAAAATTTTGATAATGAAAATAGAGGACGAAAAAAGTGATAAAATAATGGATGAGAAGCTTGAACTAAGTGCTAATTGTGGACGTATTCGATCCAAAGAGGACGAAGAAGCATTGGACAAGAAAATTGCTGAAATTCGAAAAAAGAATCAATTGATCGAACAAAGGAAAGAAGTTGAATTTATTATTAAATTTTAATTATTAAAAATTTTTAAATTTTAATTATTATCATAATTAATATTAATAAATATTGCTAATTAATATTGCTATTAATTGCATTAATGAATAATTTGAAAGCAAAAAAAAAAAAAATTCAATGCTAGAAATTAATAATTTCAGCAAATTTAGTCAAACTAACAAATTCACTTTATAAATTTGTTAATTAAAAATTAACAGATATTATTTAATTGCACATGTATTATTTATTATTGTTTATTTTTTCATCAAAAGAATAAAAATTAAATTTTAATTTAATTAATTTAAACAAGAGAAAGAAGTTTTTTTTCAAAATTTTTTCACTCTTTTCTTTGTTTCTTTGAACAACAATAACAAACTTTATTGTTATTAAACTTAATTTTTTGTAATTTTATTAAGTGAAATTTTTATTTAAATTTTTAACAATTATAAAAATTTGTTATTTTCGTTTTATTTTACTTTTTTTAAAACTTAATTCTAGGTTGTGGAAGAAGATCGAGCAAATTTTGTCAACGAATATGGCAAAATGAGCCTTTATGATAGAGCAAAAGGGACAATGTACAGAAATGTAAATTTTTCAACAAATCAAACTTAAAGGATAATCCAAGTCATTTTCGATGGTAAACTTACCCTTTCTCATACTAAGTATTATAATTAGAGTTACTCGTTTGATTCATTTATTCATTTCATTTTATTTTAGAGATTTTTTTCCTTTTTTTTTTATTTATTACTTAAAATTAGAATTTGAATTGTTAACTATTACTATTATTATTATTATTATTATTATTATTATTATTATTATCATTATTATTATTATTAAGGTTAAATTATTGTACTAAATATTATAATTAGAGTTACATACATTACTCTTTTGATTCATTTATTCATTTCATTTTATTTTAAAGATTTTGTCATTTAGTTTTATTTATTTATTTATTCGTTCGTTGATTTTGTTATTATTTAAAATTAGAATTTGAATTGTTAACTATAATACTTATTGTTACTGCTAAGGTTAAATTATCACTTATTAAAATTTAATAACTTACTTGTAGGCAAATAGCTTTGATGCAATACTATCACGTCGTTCATTCACGTAAGTGTTATAATAAAGTTAAAAAGTTATAGAGAATAGATTACTTAAGTTTTGTACAAACATTTTTTAAAAGATAGGTAATGTTTGCATTATTGATTATAAATTATCAAACTTCTCTGTGTTTTTTTATCTTTTAATGATAAATCTATCAATTTGTAATCATCTAAAGTCTAAACTAATATGAAAATAGCTCAAAAATTCACGTTTTGATTATACGTGAAATACGTCAAACACAATACTATTAATATTCTTCGTTAATCAAATGTTATTGTATTGCACTGAATATGAAATGATAAATAAAATAAACTTTTATGCTTGATTACATTTATTTATTTATTGCAAGTTAAATTTTAGCAATAAAAATTCAATTTTTTTTTAATTTCAGAAAGAAACGTTAAAATCTCGAAAACCTGGAGAATGGGATCGAGAATGGGATGCTGGAAAAATAAGGTTTATCACTTTCTTCTAATTTTTATCTTTCTTTCTCGACATTTTATTGTTTATTTTTTTTTTTTAATCTTTCCTTCTCTTATATTTCAATTTTAATTTTATGGGGGAAAAAAAGTATAAGTCAAGCTTTTAGATGTAGTAAATGTTCAAAAAAGCAGTTTTGAACATTTTTGAAATTTTTATTTTGTAAAAATTTTTTTAAGAATCATTTGGGAATCATTTTAATTTTTTATTATTTTAATTTCTTCATTTATTAATTTAGTTTTTTTTTTTGAAAATTTTTTTTAGTGTTGAAAATTGGAAAGAGAATGTACCTGATATTGACAATAGTAAAGGAACAAATGCGCATTTTTTACGTCGATCAAAGAATCGTAGTAATGGTTGCAAAAGTAACAATAGCGCCACATCAAAAAAAGTAGTTGAAATTAAGGAGAAGAAGGAGAAGCAAGAAGGCGCTAAAGTTTGCACTGAAACAAACAAAAAAGTATGCTTTTTGTTTTTTGCTCATAAAAATTAAATTAAAAAAAAAATGTTTCAAAAAAAAAATCATTAAATTAGGGAATAAAAAAAAATTTTTGTTAATATCAAAAAAAAAAATTTTTTTTTTAGAAAAACAGCAATAATTGATTGCAAAAACTTAAAACTATTAAATATTTGATGAAGATTAATATAAAACAGACGTGACCTTAGATCTGCATCTTTGTATTTCTTAAACGGACGTGACCTTAAATCTGCATTTTTGTGTTTCTTAAACGGACGTGACCTTAGATCTGCATTTTTGTATTTCTTAAACAGACGTGACCTTAGATCTGCATTTTTGTATTTCTTAAACGGACGTGACCTTAGATCTGCTTTTTTGTGTTTCTTAAACGGACGTGACCTTAGATCTGCATTTTTGTATTTCTTAAACGGACGTAACCTTAGATCTATATTTTTGTATTTTTAAGACGGACGTGACCTTAGATCTGCATTTTTGTATTTCTTAAACGGACGTGACCTTAAATCTGCTTTTTTGTGTTTCTTAAACGGACGTGACCTTAGATCTGCATTTTTGTGTTTTTTAAACGGACGTGACCTTAGATCTGCATTTTTGTATTTCTTAAACAGGCGTGACCTTAGATCTGCATTTTTGTGTTTCTTAAACGGACGTGACCTTAAATCTGCATTTTTGTGTTTCTTAAACAGACGTAACCTTAGATCTGCATTTTTATATTTCTTAAACAGACGTGACCTTAAATCTGCATTTTTGTGTTTCTTAAACAGACGTGACCTTAGATCTGAATCTTTGTACTTATCATTAAATACCATAACTCCAATATGCAATGATACATTTGAATATCACTTATTTCATTTAAAATTATTTAAGAAATTTTTTTTTTTAAAAAAAAAAAAAAAAAAAAAAATTTAAACGGAAAGAAAAGGAACTTTTTCCAATTTCTTTGCAATTTTCTTTCTGCAATTCATTTATTCGTATTTTAATTACATTTATTTGTTTCAGTATGATAAATTGATTTTTAGTGAGAATAATTACGATTTTTATAATACTAAAAACTTTGTCATTTGTTTAAAAAAAATAAATAAATAGAATTTTTCACTTTTATCGATTTAATTCCAGGTCAAAAATTTTATTGATATTTAATTTAGTCTGAAATTACTTCTATAAAAATAATTATCAGTTATTTATGAAGTAAATAATATTGTTAACATGATAAAAAAAAGCAATCAAATTTTTTTTTTTTTTTGCTTTTTTTGCTATTTAAGATATTTGATGGCAAAAATTCGAAAAATTTTAAAAATTCCGGAAACAATTACGGAATACTAGTTGCATGAAATCGATAAATAAATGAATAAAATTTCATGCCAAATTTCATACGAATCGACAAACAACAAGACAACAACAACAACAACAACAAACTGGTGGAAAATACAGGAAGCAATCATCCGGATTATCCAGAAAATGTTTTTCGACTGGACGAATGAATTCAAATGATGTTGCTAATGCTTCAATTGCTACACAACATTTGGATACAGTTCAAGTGAATATTTCAATGCTTGAATTAAAAAAGGTTCTCATTTTTGAATTCTTATTTTATAAAGATTTAAATTCTGATTAATTTTTGATATATTCAAATGAATTAATTTTTAATTTCATGTTTACAGGAATATTTACCTGTTCTTTTCATCATTGCATTTAATATAATAATATTTTAGAAATTAAAATGATGTCACAGATTATTTATTTTGTAATTCTTCCATTCATACCCAAAAAATAAAAAATTGAATATATCTTTTTTTGAGTGTAATTGTGTAAGACTGAACTAATTCGAAATCAATATATTTGAAAAGTAATTAAAAACTTAAACGTTTAATTCTTAAGCTCTTAAAAAATTATTTTCTCATTTTGCAAAAAAAAAAAAAAAAGTGCTGATGGAATTTTAAATTCATATTTTTTACTTTTTTCTAAAATAATTTTCTTAATTAAAATTAAAATAAACAAATTTATAATTTTTAAATCAATATTATTATCTATTATTTGATTTTGTATATGCAAAAACGGAAGTATTATTGACATATAATTCATTTCAAAGGATAAAAAAAAAAAAATATTAAGCTTAATGAGTTTGCTAAAATGGTTAATTCCTCTTTCTGGCCTATATTGATTTTATGGCGCAATTGAATATAACTGCATTAGTCAATTGCGCAATGAAATATCTTATGTAATGTGAATGGAATATGTTTGGGTGTTGAAGTTAGAGTAGAAATAAAGTGTTTGAATTTCACTTCCGAATATTTACTTTCTTTTTAAAGCATCAACATAATATTCTCATTCTCATTTTCTATGTATTTTTACCCCCTCTCTCTCTCTCTCTCTCCTTCTTTCCCCTCTCTCTCTCTCTCTAGGATAAAATTAAATATAAAGCTAAAGCTTTATGTGCACCTCTGCTCCTGTGTCTAAATTGCAAAAAGGTGAAATTTGATATCAAACCACAGTATCCCATTACCAATGATTGTTTAGTTTCACTCTTTTTGACTTTTTCACTTCTTCAGCTTCTTCTTCTTTTCTTTTCTCTCTCTCTCCCCCTCTCTCTCTCTCTCTGTGTTACCTCATATTCTTAATATTTTCCTGAAATTACTACGTTATACTAAGAAATGAACTGATATTTCAGGATGCACAAACAATTGTTAAATGTAATAGTAATAATGATAATGATAATGATAACGATGATAACAACAATGATAATAATAACAATAATAATGATGACAATGACAAAATTAACAACAATTTTAAAAAGTTATCAACAACAATCGTTAGCGCTGCTAATGCTTCTTCAACGATGCCAACTCGATCAATTATCAAAGAATACGGTAGGTGATTGATAATTGATTAAAGATTCTTTTTTCTTTTTGAAAAATATTTAATTAAAAAAAAAAAATTAATAATTCATTCTAAAATTAATTACAAATTTGTCTAATTAAATTAACTTTCAATTGCTTTATAGGTTATATTTTATGCTAAATTTTATTTAAAATTTTATTTATTTTTTTTTATGCTAAATTTTATTTAAACATTTTTAGTGCTAAAATTTATTTTGGCAATTTTACTACGAAATTAATTTGCATAATTTACAAAAGGAAAAGAAAAAAAGCATTTTTTTTTAAAATTGAAATTAAACAAAAATATTATTTCAAATTGATTATATTTTTCTTTTTTTTTTTTTGATTAATATAAATTTATTAATTAGTTTTATAGCTCTCAAATATCAATCAATACTTGTATTTAATTACTGATATTTGACTATTTAATTATATAATTTAACATAAATTTATATATGACAATAATCATTTGAATATTTAAACAAAATTTCTATTTTTTTTTAAAAAATGTTTGAAATTTTTTTTTTAAATTTATTATAATATTCCTTTTTTTTTTTTTAACTTAACTATTTTAAGTAATCAAAAGAAATTGAACAATAAGAAATGAGCAAACAAATAAAGGCTATATTTACTGAACGGTGCTAATTTATATGACTGTTCTTCTTGATCTGCCATATGACAATAATCAATTTAAATTCTTTGTCGGCATTCCTTTCAAGTTTACAATTAATTTTAACTTAATGCTAACTTTATTAAAATATAAAGTTAAAAAATTAATGTTTTTTTTAAAATAATTTTTGATTAAAATATTTCTAATATAACATATCAAATGATTGCTAAATATCATACAAAAAAAAAAAGTTGTTCTGGTGACCCCGAAAGTGACAGATAAATGATTGGACAGATTAGTTGACACAAAGTTGATGGAGTGGCTTCCGCGGATAATGGATTAAACCATCCGTTTCAGTTTGAGTTATTATTATTTGATCTGACTTCCGGTGAACTGCAAATGTTTTACAAATTATTTCTTCTGTTAGCTCAGCTGGTACTCTTCCGGATGATCCAGAAAAAATCTTTTCATTTCCAGAAAAAATCTTTTCAGATGTTAATTCCTTTTAATATAATAATAATTTAGATATTACAAGAAAAACTAAAAATAATAAAAATAAAAAACATTTCATTTCGAAATTATAATACAAATTATTTCATTTTTTTTCTGAATTATTTTACCGAAAGCCTTTAAATTTCATCGAAATGTAAATATTTCATTTGTAAGTTAAAAATAAAATTAATAAATCATTGCATTATTATTTAGCTAATCAAATTATTTTAGTAATTAATTAGCAGCTAATTATAATTATCACAGAATAACACTTTTCAAAACAAAACATTGAGATTGTAAAAAGATTCATTAATTTATTATTTCATTGTTCTGTGTAAAATCAAAAGTATTTAATTTCATTTTTTTTTCAATTAAAAATTTAAATTTTATAAAGCAGTTTGTAAATTTCAATCATTTAGTTTTGAAATATTTGAATTATTATAAAATATTCCATTTCAGGAAATAATGATAAGGATGTGATTGTGATGGAAGATGTTAAGAAATTGTTGGATGAAATATTATCGGAAATGAAATGAAATGAAATAAATTCGAAAATGATAAATAATATTTTCTAATATTATTGATAAGTCATCAATAATTCGTATATTTTGATTATCTATTATCAATGAAGAATTTATCGATGATTAATTAATGAATTAATTAATTGTGTACTATTTACCTATGCTAATGATATCTGCTACAAATTGTGCTATTATTATTATTATTATTACTATTATTACCGTTATTATTATTATTACCATTATTATTATTATTATTATTATTTTAGTACGAACTTTTTTATGGCTTCAATATTTTCAAATTTTATAATATTTTTTAAAAAAAAAGACGATAAAAGCAATTGAATAGCAGCGTATTACCTTCAATTTATTTTTATTTCTTTTGTCATCCAAAAAATAAACAAATAAATAAACAAATGAAAAATGAAAAAAGTTAAAAAAAAAAAAAATTGAATTTTTAAGGACATTTTTTCTTCACAATTTTTATGGAAAATAAACAAATGATATACCATTTTTTGGCGCAAATGGAAACAGATTAAAAAAGTTTGAAATAAAAAATGTGAAATGGAATAATTTAGAAAAAATATTTGCTAAGGTATAATTTTAAAAGATTAATTTTAAACTTATGATGAATATATGAAATTATTTGAATGAATTCATAGTTAATTTATTCTAAAATTAACACAACAAACGAAGCGTTAATTTCTCAAAACTGAATTTTAAAAATTTGTGATAAGATTTTGAATCCAAAATTATTTTTAAATTTTATTTTATTATTTTATAAAATTAAAACTTTATATTATTTCTTTTATTTCGACAGAATTTTTTCCTTTTTTCTTTTTGAAGAATATTTTTATTTTATCATTTTTTCGAGGTTTTTTTATTCTCTTCAAGCATAAGTAAATATTATTCCATTTAATAAAATAATAATAATAATTTTTTGCATAACTTAGAAAAAAAAAACTTTATAATACTTTATTTGAGTTATGATTAAATTATAATTAATTTTTTAGTAATTAATTAAACTTTAACGCTTCAAAAATATTTTCTTAAGTTTTATATTTTACTTCTTATTTCATTTCAAATTTAAAGAAAAAAGAGAAAAAAAGAATGAGGAAGTGAGGAAAAAAAAGTGAAAGGAAGAAATGGAAAAAAAAAAACTAAAAAATTGCTTTCATCTTTTTTCGTTTTCTTTTTTTCTTCAATTTTTTTTTTCAAAATGCTAAAATATTACGGTGAAAATGTGACAAGTTTTTTTTTCATCAAATTTAAAAAATTTCTTTCCTTACTTAAAAAAATAAAAATAAATGAAAGAAAGAAAAAAAAAGGATTTGAGGAAATTAATAATTAATAATTTACAAAAAGCGCAAAAATCATTCTTTAAATCAAATTGGAATTTAAACAAAGTAAAATTAAAGCGACAATAAAACTAATAAAAATTATTTGCATTCATCAAATCTTAATACTTCTCTTTTAATTACTTTTAATTTTTTTTTTAAGTACATTTTTTTGAAATCAATTTTAATTATGTTTTTTAGAAATTAATTATTTTTGTTTACCGTTCATCTGTAATTGTAGCATTGCATTAACTGATGTTAATCAAAAAAAAAAAAAAAAGAAAAATTAAAACTAAAGAAATAAAATATACCGTAGGAAAATGCTTTAAAAAATTTGATTCATCCAAGAGAAAAGGGAAAAAATGAGAGAGAGAGAGAGAGAAAGAGAAATTAAATGGAAAATAGCATTCAAAACATATTGAATAAATAGAAATGAATTTTGGAATTTTTTTTTCAAATTAATTCCAAATCATAATTTTTTGTTTTCTTTTATTAGCAAAAAAATTTTTGCGCTGAAAATTTAATCAAATTTTATCAATGCATAAATATAGTTTTTTTTGTTGTATTAATGAAATGTATTATTGTTATTAATAGTTTTATCAGTGTTATCATTATCATTATCACTCATTTATTACTACATCAATTGAAGGTAGTCAAATTGATACCAATTTAGCAGCCAGAAAGCAACAAATCATCGAACATATATTAAAACATACATTGAAAGAATTGGAGGAAGCCTGTTGAGGACTGTTGAATGATTGACAAGGTGTTAGGCGCAAATGTGACAGCCATGAGTGCCTTTGTGCCAGAAGATTACTTCGAAAACCATTGAAATGCTTCGATCCAAGCATTAGTTTTGAGGAAGATGCATTGCATTAGACCGCAGCCACTAATTTCTGGTCTACTAAACCACTACCGCCATTATTATTCATCACCATTACCGCCTATCAGTCATCATTATTACCATTATCAATTGTTTATTTACTATCATCTATTATCATTGATAATTTATACTTATTCAAACGGAAGCTAATTCTAACTATTAGTACTTTGTCCAATTTATTTATCAAACAACAATTTTACACTTTTCAATTTTGTTTTCTTATTTCTATTTGATAAAATGATAAGGTCGGAAAAAAACTCGAATAGATAATAAATAAATAAATAATTATGTTAGATCTTTTTTTCGTCTTCAATAAATTTTACTTACTTATTTAAGTGCATTTTTTTTTTATCAAATCATATCAGTAACAGCGATATTTGTTATTTCAAATATTAATGCATTCCAATTATTATTTAACCTTCTATTTATAACTTCATACAAAAAATAAATAAAAAATAACTCATTTTTAGAATTCAATTATGAAATACTGATTAGCTAATAGTGAAATCTGATAAATAATATTTGAAGTATTAAGAATGATAAGGTCTGATAGTAATAAGATAAATCTGATATTTTAAACCTTAATTAATTTGGAGAAAAAAGAATCAATATCAATTATTATCATTGATTTCAATCGATCCATCTGCTAGATTCCTTTCATTACTTGTAATTTACATTAATTCATCTTATTACTAACAAATTATCAGTTCATTGATAAGCCTTTATTTTCTAGCAACAACAACTTATCATTCATTTACTTATAACTACTTATTCACTTATAATAAGGTACTTTTTGCTTACTATCACATGCTAATATTTCCATATATTTACTTATATCCATTATTTTTGAATTTACCTTATCACTAACAAATTATCAATTCATTGATAAGCGTTCATTTCATAACAACAACAACAACAATAATAATAACAAATAACTTATCATATCATTTATTGTCTTATTACTTTTTGTTTACTATGACATGCTAATATTTCCATATATTTACTTATATCTCTAACTTTTGCTATCATACAAAAAATAAAAAGTAAAAAATACAAAATTAATAAAAGAGCAATTTAGGTGACAAATTATGATTACAAATGGTAGCAATTTTATTTGAAATGTTTAGGAAGTATTCGATTTATGGTTGTCATCATAGTATGCTAGAATGGTTGACAGATGACTGACTTACTTTACTTTAGGAATACCACCTTTACTACCTTTTTTTTTCCCCTTTAACTATGGTAGTATTTCTTCTTTTTTTTTTTTTTAATTTAAATCCCTCCCAATGAAATGTCCCAGATGAGTGACAGTAGTTGAGAAATGTTGTTTTAAAATGAAAAAGAATGAAGGAGATTGAAAAGAGAGAGAGAGAGAGAGAGAGGACAAGAAGGGAGAAGAAGAAGGAGGAGGAGGAGGAGGTGAAGGGTTGACGAAATGATTTAGCTTTCTTTTACCGAACCAAAAACGCGCACCGCTTTGCATCTCCCATTTCACAAAATCATCAACCAACAGCGCCATCTCATCATATCTCTCTTAATATTAATATCATCAATCGACGATTATTTATTTTAATACCAAAAGGGAAGAGGAATAATTAATATTTTATTACAGTTACAGCATTTAAATTTTGGCTTATTTAATTTGCCAACCTGTAAATTTGAAGAAGAAAAAAAAGAAAAACTGTACATTTCTCATTTTCATTCATTACAAATAATCCATCTATAATTTCTCTTTCCTTTCCTTTTTTTTTTTGGCTAATTTTAAATTACAAGGTTAATTATTATAATGGAACAACAATATCAATTATCTATTCAACCGTGAGTTCTTTCTTTTTTTCTTCTTCTCCTTCTTCTTCTCTTTTTTTCCACGGGAAATATTTGAAAAGAAATTTTCAATGAAATTAAAAAAATATAATCTATGAAAAATTATTGTTGACATATCATAATGATATCTGATACAACCATATCAGTATTTCTAAACATACCCAAACAAACAAAAAAAAAAAAAAAAAAAAGAAAACAATGAAAACATGTAATTTAGTACTCATATACCTACAGATATGAATAAATTTCGTTGACAAATAACAGTGACAACTACTCATCTACACTCATCAAACAGCTCTCCTCCTCATCATTATGTACAAATTAAATAAAAATTAAACAAAAGTTACAGTAAGTTAATATCAAAAGAAAATTGATCATCGAGATTGATCGAAATTTTATCTCACTAGCATATCAATTTCTATAAAAAGTATCCAATTTACATTACGACAATATTGCAAAAAAAAAAAAAAAAAAAGAAAAAGAAAACAGATTAAAATTACATAACTATTAGTAATATATTTAATTTCAGTAATAGTAACCTAAAATCCATTCTAACAATTCTTCCGCCTCCCTCACACCTCCCAAATTTTAATAATTAATCCTTCTACTATTTCATGTTTATATTTATATATTCCATTTCAGTGAGAGTACATTTGATAGCGATCAGGTTGCTTGTGTTTGTGAAGTTCTTCATCAATCGGGTGACATCGATCGTTTGGTATGATCCATTTTTCATTATCATTTCATTTCATTTCTTTTTCTTTTAAAAAATAGAACAATTAATTATTATAATTCCATTTTTTTAAATAATATAGCGATAATTTATTTTTATGATTTTATTATTATTACAGTAACACCTGTAAATTACTATTTTTATTATCATTATTAGATTAGCTCACAATAAATAATCCTTCTTGAAAAGAAATTTTAGAAAAAAAGCTATTTGAGCTGTAAACAATGATTATTTATCAGTT